GCAATTCTTGCGTAATTCCCGTTTGTTTTTCAAATTTTCATTTATTTTGTCTCTATAACCAAACACATTATATGTTATGTCGGATGTCCCCAAAGGAACATAACACATTATGTGTTTGCAAAATAGCAATTTGTAACATAATAATCATGTAAATGAATCAAGAAAATTGTTGTTAATTCTTTATTTTTCTAAAATTGTTGTATTTGTAACATGAGATATACTCTCATGCACAATTTTTGCGATTATTTTCTTAATTAGAATAGCTAATTTGGTGTATATATTGTTTCCATTTAATTCTTCTTTGTTACATAATAATGTCTAATCATATCAAGAATATAAAAGAAATAATTTAGCTTATAGTTTAGGATCTTCAGCTGTCATGTATTTGTATATAATTGCTTATTGATTAATAGAATGACACACGATTCTTCTACCATAACTTTGTTATGGTATCAAAGTGTACAAAGTTCTGGTATGAACGTGTGACAAAATTCTCCTTATGGATAAAGAGAAAACTGAATATTAAAATTGAGAAAGTTGAGACCAAGACCGAATTGGTCAAAAAGATACGTTCACCATATGACTTGCATAAAACGATAATCTAAAAAATCTGATTACTCATGTGCAGTTGAAAGGGGAGAACTATGATGAATGGACCAAGGCCATGTGTACCTCCCTACATTCAAGATGAAAATGGAAGTTTGTGGAAAGAGATATCTCACAGCCAGAAAAGGATTCTTCTAAAATAGAAGATTGGTGGACGGTGCAATCTATGCTTGTGTCGTGGGTTCTAAACACGATTGATCGAGCCTCTGATCTACCATCTCCTACCAAGAAAACGTGAAAGACTTGTGGGAGGACATTAAGGAGCAGTTCTCTATTGCAAATGGACCACGGATTCAACAACATGTGGCATCAACGCATAGGGCATCCTTCTTTCAAGGTCACTAAATTAGCGTCCAACATGAGGTGTGAGAGTAGTGTTTTGAAGAACAAACCATGTCATGTATGTTTACGGGCTAAGCAAGCTAGAGATGTCTTTCCATTAAGTACGAATAATGCTAGTAGTAGTTTTAAATTAATACATTGTGATTTGTGGGGGCTTTATAGAACTTCCTCTTCTTGTGGTGCTTCATATTTTTTTACAATAATGGATTATTTCTCTTGTACTATATAGATTTATTTGATTTCGAATAAAAAGGAAGTGTCACGTACATTGATGAATTTCTTTGCATTAATAGAAGAATAATTTGGCAAGCAGATTAAGGTGATGCATAGTAATAATGGAATTGAATTTATATGTTTGAGAAACTACTTTCATGAAAACGAGATAGTATTTTAAACATCTTGTCCAGGCACCCCACAATAAAATGAAAGAGTAGAAAGAAAGCATAGACACATTCTTAATGTGCTTGTGCTCTACAATTTCAAGGTATTCTCCCTATTTCCTTTTGGGGTGAGTGTGTTTTGACAGCTGGATACTTGATTAATCGTACTCTCACTGCAGTTTTGTGTGGAAAAATACCATATGAGATGTTGTATGGTCAAGCCCACATGTATGACCATTTGAAAGTTTTTGGTTGTTTATGCTATGCACACAACTTGGATAGACTTGGTGATAAGTTTGCTAGTAGAAGTCAAAAGTGTATCTTTGTGGGTTACCCTTATGGGAAAAATGGTTGAAAATTATTTGATCTAGATACTCAATGCTATTTTGTGTCTCGTGATGTTGAATTCTTTGAAACACAGTTTTCTTTCACACATACGGCTAAAGTCAAATGTGATTTATCTGTGAATTCATTCTTAATAAATGATGCATTGGATAGTGGTGATGACAATGATTCAGATAGTGAAACAAAGATGGAAGAAAACACACCCAATGAGGTAGTTGCAGTTTCTGACGTAAGGGGGAAACTGCTGCCGTGGACAGTGAGAGAAGTGATGAGCCTGTAGAAGAAGGAAATAACTTAATTCCTAATGTTGACACACTTGAGCCTATCAGTGAAAGCAATTTGGAGAACTGGGAAGAGGGCAACGTACCAAATTTTCCTCTGTGAAGCTACGTGAGTATATAACTCACACCATGAAGAAGCTAAGTCCATCTCCAAGACCATTTACTTCACGGCTTTCTTCAGTTACTCCCTATCTTGTATCTCACTATATAAGTTGTGAAAATTACTCCAAAAAGCATTACAGGTTTGTTGCTGCTATTACTCAAGCCCGAGAATCCACTCATTATGCTAAAGCAGTATAAGACGCCAAATGAAGGCTTGCAATGCAACAAGAATTTCATGCACTAGAAGAAAATGGAACATGGTCTCTAGAACCTCTACCGAATGGGAAGAAACCTTTTGGTTGCAAATAGGTGTACAAGATCAAGCATAATTCAAATGACACGATAGAGTGATACAAGGCGAGGCTAGTTATTCTCAGAAATCATCAAAAAAATGGGTTGACTATATCGAGACATTTGCCCCTATTGTCAAAATGGTTATTGTTCACCTTGTTCTTGCTATTGCAGTAACAAAGAAGTGGGAATTTCATCAAATAGACATCCACAATGCTTTCCTTCATAGTGATCTATATGAAGCTTCCTCCAGGCTTTCATGCTTCTTAACTGGACCATGTTTATAAATTAAAAAAGTCCTTATATAGTTTGAAGCAAGTCCCTCGTTGTTGGTTCGCCAAACTATCATATGCTTTGATAAACTTTGGATTCCGTCAATCGGATTGTGACCGCTCACTCTTTACTCTCCTTGTCCATGTAGTGCAAATGATAATTTTGGTATATGTAGATGATTTAATCATATGTGGGAACAATTCTGCTGTAATTCAACGATTTAAAGAGTATCTTAGCCAACGCTTTCACATGAAAGACTTGGGACACTTAAAATATTTTTTGGGAGTAGTAGTTGTAAGAAATTCAAGTGAAATATTTTTGTGTCAGCGCAAATATGCGTTGGACATCATTCAAGAAGCAAGCCTACTTGGTGCAAAGCCTGTGACTACTCCTCTTGAGCAGAATCATCAGCTTGGACTTGTCACTAGACGCTACATTGATAAACCTGACAGTGATGGACGCCTTGTTGGGCGCCTCATATACTTGTGTTTTACCCGATCGAAATTTTCTTACTGTGTCCACACCTTGTCGCAATTCATGCAACAATCGCGTGAAGAACATTGGAATGCAGATTTTCACATTATGAAATATCTCAAAGGAAGTCATGGGCAAGGTATTTTCCTTAGCAGCACATCTGATTTCTAACTGCATGTATGGTGTAACTCCGATTGGGTCGAATGCCTGTTAACTCAGTGTTCAATTACTGGTTGATTTGTGTTTTTGGGTCACTCTTCTATATCTTAGAAAACCAAGAAACAACATATTGTCTCTTGTTCATCCGCTAAAGCAGAATATCGTTCTATGGCTACTACTACTTGTGAATTTAAGTGGCTTAGGAGCTTACTGGATGATTTAGGCATTTCACATAAAGGCCCTATGCATCTCTACTGTGATAGTCAGGTTGCTTTACACATAGCAAAAAATTCAATTTTTCATAAACGGACAAGGCATATTGAAGTGGATTGTCATTTCATTTGTAATGAGATACTCCAAGGCACACCATTCAACCATCATATGTTCTGACATAAGAGCAACTCGCAAACATTCTTACAAAAGCCTTGGGACGACATCAATTTTAGACTCTGCTTGACAAGTTGGGCAGTCGTAATCCTCATGCTCTACCTTGATGGGGGTAATACGAAATATACTCTGGGATATGCTCTCATGCACAATCTTTGGGATTATTTCCTCAATTAGAATAGTTAATTTGGTGTACATATTGTTTTCTTTTAGTTTTTCTTTATTACAAAATAATGCCTAACCATATCAAGTATATGAGAAAGATAATTTAGCTTATAGTTTAGATATACAGCTGTCATGTTCTTGTTTATAATTGTCTATTGATCAATGGAATGACACACAATTCTTCTATCATAATTTTGTTAATTTTTATTTTTCTTTTATAGAAAAATTGTGAAAGATGCAAGAACAAAAGGCACGCGGAAGAAAGGTTTTAATAGTCTAGAACAAGAACAAGCACAGAATTTAGTCCGAGAAATGGTTTGGGACAAAACAAAAAGACAAGATATTTTCACTGAAACATTGGGTGTGTTGTTTTTTGGTTCATCATTGAAACATTGGGTCTATGATACACTGATTCAAGCTTTTATTTATTTTGCTAGATTCAATCTAAATTTTGGACTTTCCTTTTGGGCCTGGATCAGGTACCCTTTGTAGTTTTTGGTCACCTGTTCCCCATATGGTTTTTTGTTTCCGTACACAGCAGCTTTCTACGCTCAACCATGAAGATACGTTTGGATCTTGAAAAGACGCACATGCCATACAGACAATCGAAAGAATAAAATGTTTTTTTAATAATACAATATATAATTATATTTATAACTTACAAACAATATTCAAAGCTCTCCAAAATGTTAACGGTGATCCAAACTTTGACAATTGCAGCACAGATAAAAGAAAAATAAAGGTAGCATTAGTTCAAAGACAGAGACACAAACACGCATATTATGGCTAGTGTCTTATTAAAAAGATAGAGACACATAAAAACTTGAGAAAAATAAATTTGAAAGATACTCAAAGAAAGGACCCAATTCTAGAAACACAAAAGCTATATTTTTAAAGATCAAAATATCCTTGATAATAATTTGAAATTACATACACTATCTTTAACGTATTGTCTTTAACATTTAAATATAATATAAAACGTAATATATAATATTTTATCTTCACTTCTAAAAAGTAATACATAAATATAAATATTAATATTTCTATCTTTTATTGTTCTAGTGTCTCTGAATCAAATCTTACAGAGCAATCGTTTTCAGCACAAAAAATGTTTAGCATCCCCCAACTCACATGCGCAGTGAATGGTGGATAAAGCATATGCACTGTCAAGAAACAATTTGGCTAATGCTATTTGGTAAATCAAGGCATGTGTTAATCATTCACTTACATGTTGATCTACATGATGTCATTAACACAAATCTCAGCTCATACCAAACCACCTCAAATTTTTTCGGAAGAAAACTAAAAAAAAAAAAAATGGTGATTGTGAAAAGGAAAATTGCCTCAAGTGCCATGGCAAAGGGCATTGTAGAAATCAGAAAAACAACTTCAATCAAGGTTCTTTTACATTTCTCCATAATAAAGTACTCTCCACGCATAAGTCAATAAATGTCCAAAATACTCAATGTAATTTAATGACGCAAAATGATCCAAGAAGAAATATCAACACTTGATGCCAACAAAATATCACCCATTTTGCAGAAAGCAAGCTTGGGACACAGCTTGCCGCTCCTACAAAAAGAAAGACCACAATTCCTGTGGTAAAAAGTATATATATTAGTAACAGTATGTGTAAATAAACAATTGAGACATTTCAAGAAGCTTATGGAAAGCAGAGAAGTATCTAACCACAAATTTGAGCACCTATTTGCATGGTCATGGGAAAGTGGAAAAAGAAAAGAAAAAAAAATGTGGGGTAGATCTTAAAGCATGGTGCAACTGTGAAAGCATGAAGGTGACCAGAGAATATTTGTTTACACTTTACGCTAAACAAGAATATTTGCAATATGAAAATTAGCAAAGTATTCTCAACCTTCAATCTATGAATGAATATATGAATAATCGGTGTTTCTATTTACATTTTCACCCCTCGTCTATGAATGAATATATCTTAGCTGTAAACTATCACCATATAAATTAGATCTTGCCCTCAATATAGATACTTATATTTACTTGTTTAGAGTCATACAAAAATGAATTCATGTTGAACTCCCATCTTAATTTTATTATTGATTTTAGAATGAACCAGATGTCATTAAACTAAGGGACAAAACCTAGATTTACTTGTTTATACCTTCTTATCAGGTTGTCCAATCAAACAATACATTTTTCAATTCAGTTATTAAATATTAAAAAGTATTCACATTTTGTTATTTGGTTGGAAAATTTGATGGTGAAAATATATAGAACTTGATATAAATTTTATTTCAAACTAAATTAAATTTAAATGACTGCATATAAATACACACATCCATGGTGATTTCAATTTTTTCCCACTTTCTTACCAATTCCCATCACTACATCAAGTTTTTGTACCAATATCTATCATCTTCTCTTTTTTTTGAATTACTACGATCTTTTCAACCAATAATCCTTTCATTCCTTTTGAAACTAACTAGTACAGTTTAGCTTGTTCCAACAATGATTTCACTTTATCAAACAAGGTCAGTCATTTTCAACATCTTGAAGGCTACTCGAGGTTAGAACTAAATTTCATATAATACGATTATAGTACATTATTTTTATTTTGGTTTTTGATAAATTTTATGTACAATTTTAAATATTTTTAATATCATTTTCTAATTAAAATTAGAGTAACTTTAGTAATCAACACAAATCTTTAATATCAACCTTTGTTATATAACTTATTAAAATAAAAATTTAATTTTAAATAAAGAATAACACTTAAGAAAATAAATCTAAATTCTATCATTTTTATTTATTTACTTTTATTATAATTCATTTTTTTCTAAGCAAGAATGTCAAAGTAGACAGTTCCTGCCGGTACTCATTTTAAAACATGATGATGCTAGGTTAAGATTGAAGCCTAACTATATTTATTCACAAAATAGAAATAGGCTTGCATCAATGTTTCACTTTAAGTTCTTATTTAATCTAGGTTTAAATGTACTTACAGGTGACATACAAAAACTTACTTCTAAGTGTATATTTTGCAGTTGACAATTTTAGTGCAGAATTTAAAAGAAGTGATTAATAAAAATGCTAAATTTGAATTATGAAAAAAGACTTTAGAATTTAAGAGTTTTCACTTACATAGAAATAAGATAGATGATATGCATTTTAAGTTTAGTAAAAAAAAAAAAAAACAAGATGAGTACCATGACTTCAAAGTTAAAATTAAAAATCATTTTATATCACAAGTTTTCAAGTTCGGTTGCTTGAGATTAATTTTACAAAATTATGAATATATTACTCATAATACAAGCTGGATGGTTAAAATAAAAAAATGTATCAAAAATTATTTGTGACTGTAAAATATTTATTAAGCTGAAAAGAAATGTTAAATCTTAAAGGAATAACACGAGAAAACAATGAGAATTTTAAGATGGATAAGTAGTCGCATCAGAAAGGATAGAAAAAGAAATAATAGTACACTTAAGAATATTGATGTAATATATACAATGAAAAGATGATTGAAAACTGTCTAAGGTAGTTTAATTACATGAAAAAAAAAATAGAATCATTAATAAGAATAGTAAATTGTATGAATTTTTAGTCAGGTAAAAGAAGATCAAGAAAAATCCAAAAAAACTTTAGATGTTATTAAAAAAATCTTTTAATTAATCAAATTTCTATAGATTTAATTTTTAAACTAAGTTCATTGATATCTTGTGATTTATGTAGTGAACTTTATCTATTAGGACAAGGCTTTGTAGCTTTATTGATGTTATTGTTGTAATCAACAAAGAAAATCAAATATTTTAATTGAGATGACACCAATATTCGCTACCAATTTTATGTAGAAATTTTCTATATCTGGAAAGGGGAAGAAGGGCATTGGTAATGGCTTTGCCTCAATTGTCTTTCCATTGAACAAAATCGGTTCTGGTGATTAATTGAGCCAAATTTCAATCACATAATTTTTATTTTAAGTTAGTTTTAAATTTAAACTTTATCTGATCAAATTTTTTATATTAGTTATTTTAAAAAAGCAATAAATATCTTCCTCCAACTTTCCCTCTCCAATCAATCATAATACATCTTAAAACGGTACAACTCATTTCAACTCCAAACTGCTAAAAGAAAATTCATGTTTCAATGTATATCAATGAAAATCTATGGCCAAGCAGGTTAGAGTTATCTATATATATTCAAATGTACTTCACAGATACACATATTTTGTATGGTAATTTCATAAACTATATAAAACAACAAATATATAGACATAGGAATAATATGATGAATTCAAAAATAAAAAATATATATGTATATATAGTTCAGTGTAATTTGAAGTGTATCAATTTCTAAAATTAGAATCTACATCTATCCCAATCGAATAAAAGAAATAATTTTTTCATATTTTCTATTCTTTTGGTTTTCACTTTGTATAGTTTTTTAGTTGATATTTTTTTTTTTTTCATTTTATTGAATTGGTTATAAAAACATCTAATCAATAGGGTACATTCCCCATCTTTTCCTTGGATTATACACAAACAAACATAGCTTTAAGTAAATTAGCTAGGCATGATTCGGATGACTTTTTAAAAGAAAACTTTTTTATAATAGTTGTTTTTTTTTTACTTTTTTCAACAGTAACAGTTATTTTTCATTTATATACAATATTTAAGAAGAAGCACTTGTTTTATGTTTAAGCATATTCTCCATATTTATAAACACATAAATGTGTTTTATTTGGGCTTCAGCATTTTGAAGAGTAAAAACAAAAAAACCCCGGTCCAAACACACCAAATTATAAACTCTTCAAAACGAAGTAGTTGAATTTATATGAAGATTTAGAGTTTTTCTTAGTAAAATTTTTCTCCCATTCTCTCATCCTTCTTTGCATCTGTTAGTAGCAAAAATTGACCTTTTACAAATTCTCATATTTTTAGTCTGTGAATCCACGTTTCCCTTCTTTCATCTACAAAAATGGTGATTACCACTCAGTCCTAAGCTTTTTATTTCCTTTCTCCAAATTTTTGACTGAATAAAATGACAATCTTCACCATTGCTTCAATTCAATTGCTACTCCTAAACCCCTTTCTTGGAATGAGCGTTAAATTTTATGCCTACTTCCAACACTAGCTTCTCCAGAACACAAAATCGCAGACATCTTATATATCTCATTAATTATTTATTAATAATTGAGGCTCTTATAAAATTGTATGGCTTCATTTATCGAAAAATAGTCTGTGTAACACTTTTAACCTGACATCTTAACCTAACTCAAATACTTTGAGTTGCATAACAGGCAAAGGTCCCCAGCTAAAGTCACCTTAGCAACTTCTCTATCCCTAAATTTAAAAAAGTGACATTCCGAGTTGCAAACTTCATTATGGCCTTTTAATAATCATGAAAATTCCACCATAAAGTTGCTTTACCTCATTTCCAATCACGAGGGGGATCTCAGTTAGGTCAAATTCATTAGTTATAGTTGGCTTTCTTTATCATTAAAAAATAAAAATAAAAATCAGTGAAATAGTAACATACAAGGGAACTCCAACCTAAATACGTCTTATAAGTATCACCACTAATATGAACCCAAAAAATAATTACTGTGGTTTCCAACAACTTACTAAATTAAGAAGTTAATATATATGGTCCAATGTAGATTAATTTTTCAATAAGTACTTATAAAAATAAAATATTAAATATTAAAATAAGTTAATTTTTTAATAAGTTAAAATTACGATTTTATTTTTTTTAAAAGCTCTCTTCTTTAATTCTTTAAAATTTTAAAAGCTATAAATTATTTTTACTTTATAAAAAAAATTATTCATTTTTCATATTAACTATTTTCTTGTTGAAAAAAGACTTATTTAAAAGTCTGTGTAAACTCAAGTAAGAAATAAGTACCTGAAACTTTAGCTGTGATCCAATCACAAGTTCTATTTTCAAAATATTAGTAGTATAACTTTAGTTATAGTTCACATATCACTTCAAACATCTTATCATATGTAAAGATTACATCGCCTAAGTACTGGCAGATTGGGTAGATAATCCCCATTATCATTCTTATTGACATAAAGTGCATGCTCATTGAAATGTTATTGTTAATTGTTATACAGATTTTTATCAGTTTTACTATTCCAAGCTCTTGATGCCTGCTTCAAAGCACAAGGAGCATTCTATTTTGAGGACACTGTCTTCATTTCCTTTCACTACTTCAAACACTTCACATTCCGTTCAAAATTAATTTTTGGTTACTCGATTTTACAAGATTTGAAATATAGCTTCGTATTTTCTTGTTATCTTGGATTCGTCTGTAAGGGTATATTTGATTTGTTAAAAAAAGTAGAAAGAGTAGACTGTACAAAGATACTCATTTCATGCTTCACTCTAAAAAGGATCACGAGATAGAATAAAATAACAAATAAAACACAAAACAAAAGTTTAAATAGACGTTACTCAATAAACCCATGAGACAAATTTTTATCTAGCACAAAATATAATCTAAAAGTCAGAAATATCAATCTATTTGACTAAACCTCATTAGCACCAATAGAAAACAATCAATAAACCCAATTAAGTTCATATCTAGCACAACCCCAAGTTTTACCTCCAAAATTACTGATGTGCATCAACCAACATATACAATATAAGATAAAAGTTGTGTCAAAATTCAATTTTTTTCGATTTTCTTTGTATTGCTCCTCAATGTGTATTAAATGCATCCTAACAGAGTATTTGCTTGAGGAAAAGGAAGGAATTCTTTTAATATAACTTATTTGGTTCAAAATTTAGCCGAAAAAGAGAGAGAAAGAGAATTTTTCCCTTCCTATTTTTACCTCACCTCTAATACTGTGAGATTTGCACGAGGAAAAATGTATTAAAAGTTTTTATATTATGACGACTAAATTATTCTCAATATGTATACTCAAGTTTAAAGGATTTATTTGTCTATATGCAATAATAATTTTTTTTCCCTCTTTCTTCTCTCCGTGCTTCCTCTCTTCTATGAACTATAACAGTACATAAAGGTAACTTATATTTTTGTTTTCTCCATTTTGAGAAATAAGCTTCTATCTCCATTTTGAGAAATAAGCAATTACTGAACTGAGTTCAACTTCAACCTACAACATTGCAAGTTTAGCTTTCTCATCTCAACAAACTTTTCTTGAGTGCCCTCAGCTCAATATAATATTCTCACGAACGTATTAACTTTTATAGTTATCTTTGCCACTTTTTTAGGGATAAAGTTGATAGGAAAATGTCATAGGAAGCTAGGAATCTGTTTGAAACTAAAGATTTAGGGAATTATGAAAGAGTAGTTTTGAATAATTTGGAGCATGCCTTGAAGTTACGAGGCCCTTTCATACTACCCAAAAGATAAACAAATATTCACTAACATAATTATCCTTTTCCACTGTTTTTTTGTCTCTTCACTACTCCACTATGCAGGTACCTAGATTTTCTTATGAAATGTTGGATAGGTCCAAAAACTAGGTGTCAAAAATCAACTAATATAGTTGAACTTTAAGGTCAAAGTCTTCATTCTCTTATTCCCTTTTTTTAAGTGGAATCATTCATTTGACTATAGACACGTTTTTTCTATTCAAACTAGTCGAAACAGGAATATTAGACCAATGAATTTTATACAATAAGAAAAAAAAAATACACATTCGAGCAAGTACAAAATTGATGCCACTCAAACAATGTATGTCATCAAATAGTTTATTATTTAATATAAATAAAAGATAGATAATTATGTTCATTTCTTTTGACATAAGGATTAATTATACTTACACTTACTACAGTCTTATTTATAAGAAGCAAATACTTAATTTATCAAAACCAATAATAAGTAATTATATGTCATAAATTTATATTTTATTTCGAAAGTATTCATAGTATTAAATAGTTAAATTAGTATGTTATATATTCAATGAATAAATATATTTATTTTTATGGATAAGGGATTGATATCTCATTAACATAAATCTTACAATAAATAATATACAAACAATTTAACAATTAATGTATCCAAAAAATGGTATTTATTTTTTATATTTAGAAAAAAATATTGACAATTATTTCTAGCAAATAGGACATGAAATGATATTTGTAATTTTTAAAGGTCAAATAACCCTAACCTTTTTTACGAGTAAATTATACACACAGCATTCTCAAAAATAAATATTAGAGAAGTGCAAGAAAAGTAAACATAATTTTTTAGTAAAATAGAGTGTATGTATAATTAACACTAATCTAAAAAAATAGTGTAATTATTCTTAAAAAATAAAATCTATATGAGATCAATATTCCTCTTCTCATTCTAGATTATTTGTAACTGCCAAAAACAAAGATATATTCTTGTTCACTACAGTACAGAATTACACAAAGCATCTAGCCAATTTTTTGAGAATGGAGTTCCTATTAAGCTTGAAGAGTCAAGTAGTGGCGACGTGCATGGACCTTTCAGCATACGAAAAAGTCCTAAATCACTGTGTGGTTTTCCTATCCAATACCAATAATCCAACCAACAAATGCTTATACTTTGCCTCACAGAACCTGACAATGCGCCGGTTAGAATCATGTGATGTGCAGCTTGGGGGAGTGAGATGAATTGGGATCTTAAAGCCATTTAAGTTTAGACTTTGGTTTTGGCACAGACTGATTAACCAACGCATGGTGTTTGCCACAAAAAAGCTTACACTTGGCACGGAGTCACCAATGCCAGAGAGAAAGGGAACCAAGGACAAGGAGAGAACAAAAAAGGAGACAACCAGTGGAAACCCTATGCACACCAATCCATGCAGGACTCAACTACAAGACAAAAAACAGATAACATCCCATAAAAACTATGCTCAGTGCCCAACTTGTTTATCATTACCAAGAAAGCAAGCGGCTCGTGGTATTGCACACTACACATGAAACCAAGACCACTATCACCTTTCCAAATACACTAAAATAATTAAATAAAACACACACCCTCACTCACACACATTATTAAATATTTTATCTTGTATCCTCCTTGGTTTTTTCACCAAAGGCAAACCATATGCATATCAAAGGAAAAGACTTCAAAAAGGGGGAAAGAACAGCAGCAAATCAACCAGATACCAAGTATGAAAAATAACAAGAGAAAATATGACAAAGGGTAATGGAAAAAGAAAAAGGATTAAAAAGGATATATAAAAGTCTTTTTTTTTGTCTTACCCGGAAGATGGAGCAAGAGAAATGTGATCTTGCAGGAACATGATTAGTTCTTGGCTTTGCCCTTGTGGTCTGAATGGCGGTTTCCATCGCCATAGCAAAGTTGCAAGCGACCATCGAAGACAGGTGAGAACTGAAGGTGGTGATGGTTGTTGTTGTCCATGGTTGGAGGAGCAGAAGCAGGAGCAGGAGCTCCGATAAAGAAAGGAAGATTGGATGATCCGTCTATAGGTTGAAACCTCTGATGAGGCAAAAGAGATGGAGAATTGGACTGAAGGGTCCCCCTATTGTAACCAGCAAGGCCCGAAGATATGGTGAAGTTGAGATTATAGTCACTCCCACTTGGATGAGAAGAAGTAACCGCAGCTGGAATAAGATGTTCAGGCATGAAAGAGAAGTGCTGCATCTGATCAGAGTTGTTGTCACCACTGAATGGTGAAATAGGAAGGGTATGTCCCAGTTGGATTTGTCCTGAGAACCCAGAAGAAGATTGGTGATGAGTTCTTGAAGATGAAGAAGGCCCCACCAAAAGGCCTGAACTGAAGTAGTCCATAGGTGTTACAGTTGAAGACCAATGTTGCCTTGTGGATGCCATTGGTGTTGTTCCCTTGTTGAATAGGTTACCCTCATCACCACCATGGATCTGATGAACTGATCCATTAGGACTTGTAGTTGTGGGAACTGTTACTGTACTACCAATCCTACCAGTGAGAAGCTCAGTGAAAGAAGCAGTGTGAGACATGGGGTGGTTCACACTATGGTGATGATGTGCAATGCTAGAGTCACTCTCTTTCTCTTTTTCCTTCTCCTTCGCTCTTTCCCTTGCCCTCTCCCTCGCCTTCACACGGTTCTCAGACCTTGAGAGGGACAAGCCAGAGCCTTTGCTTGTCTCAGAAGTGCTGCTACAAGCTGACTTGGACAGAGAAAGGTTCTGGCTTTGGTTCTGCTGATAATTAGTATCACCATCTGCATCATCAAAGCCTTGTTGATCACTTGGCCTTTTCTCATCACTCAGTTGTTTAGGGGTATCAGGGAAAGGGTTATTAAGAGAAGGAAGCTCAGAAATAGCATCTGCAGCAGCTCTAATTAGCCACTCCACAGCTTTGCTAGGTTGGTCATAACCCAATCGGTCTTGAAGGTCATAGAACTGAATAGCTGTGGTCACAGAGAGCCTAACCCTTCTGTCTCTTAAACCCTTTGAAGTCATGACCTTGCTGTGTCGATCTTTGCCACCAGAAGCTCTAGATACCCTTATGATTCTTGAAGAGTGATGCCAACCACTTTGGAAATGGTTTGTGCTACCATCAGTTCCTCCACCTCCACCTCCACCTCCACCACCACCACCACTACCTCTTCTTCTTAGCTCTCCATCTTCTTCCTCATCTTGGTATTGGTCACTCCCTCTGCCGGAGCCTATCTTGTTTGACTCGTTTCTGCCATTTCCAACCCTTGGAAACTTACACGCCTGTGCTTGAATCTCATTCTCCTCCATATCACAATCATGCCTTTTTCCAACAACAGAAGCTCAAGCTAGACACACCCCACTTGGTCTTCTCTTACCCTCACAATAAGTGTCAGAGAGAAAGAAGAAAATAGAGTGAAGAGTGATGAGAGTGGTGGGGTTGCTATGTCGTGCTTTGCATTGATGACGATGATTCAGTATGAGAGAGTACTTTGGCTGTGTTGTGATAATAAAAAGGCCTTTTTCTTCTTAAGCACGATAAATCGCGGTCCGAGTCAGAAGCCTTTGTTAAAGCTTTTTTCAGTCACAGAAAGAAAGCTTTCAAAAGCAAAAGACTGTGTAGGTCTCAGAGCCTCACCCTCTCCTCCTGCAAACCGAAAGCAACAAAACAGGCACAATAGCACCCCCAAAGAAAAATATAAATGGGTATATTATCATCCCAAAAACAAGATAATTTTATTTATTTTGCATTTAAAAATAAAATATAAAAAAATAGGCATCAGAACATTCTCAGGTTCAATTAATACACAGCAGATAGGATCTGAGTCTGTCTGTGTATTGCTAGCACACCACCATAAAAACTTTGAACTTTAAGAGAAGGAAGAATAGAAATGCTTGAAGACTCATATCTATGTGTCTTTGTATTTTACCTTTGCTGAGTCTTTGAGCTTTGTTTTTAAGCTAAAGCAGCAAATTTTGCAAATGGGTTGCCGATCTGCGCCAAACCCCCTTTAGCTTCTGCTTGTGTTAATTTATAGCTTTTCCCTGGCCTTGAAATAGCAGACATTATGCAAATCTCATTAGAAGCCACGCCACAACAAGGTTCTTTATGGTGTAGTTTGAAAATTACAAATTTTTTATGTTAAATAAAAGCACTGTGTCTGAATTGCTGTGTTAAAATTGAATAAAATGATTAAAGAGGTTCAAGGTTTTTTACTTTGAACACTGTGGGATCGAATTTTGCCAAAGAGAAAAGGAAATAAACCCAGTTTTGACGACGTGAGTCACTGAGTTCTTCACACAGCTCACAGATCTGTGCACCTAGAGTTCCATTAATGAGGCAAAGCCAAGAGGGGAAGTAAAATTCAGAACCAACATATTTGAGCTCATTAAAAGACATTATTACATTTTCAGATCAGTTCCACCATTTTCTCAACAAAAATAAACAACATATTTTAAAAAAAATAAACTTCCACTGAATTGAAATTTATATCAATTTGATAGAAAGTCAGAATCACAAAACCAAATAGAGATTGAAAAAAAGAGTAGTTTACTTTGTAGTAAGGATTAAGGAGATAAAGTAAGGAAAAAGCACAAGAGAGTAGAGACCTTATTTGGTGTGTTATTTCAGGAATTATTGAATTTTCCAAATGGTCATGCTTCCTTCTCAAGTGCACCTTGAAATGAAAAAAAAAGGGGAAAAAAGTTGAGATTTTTTTTACTCTCCCTCCATCTAAAACAAACGAGCTTGTGTCCAAGACAAGACCTCAAATCCAGTACCAAAGCCTACAAGCATGTTTTGGAGCTGAATTTGGAGATTGGTTGACACTTACAGTTGCATACCTCTCTCTGCACATGTAAACATGAAACTGAGGTTATAGAGAGAGAGAGATGAGAATGTTCTAAGGAGGTGAAAAAACAGAAAAGTAAGTGAAGGAAAATTGAGGGTATGCGGTGGTTGTGTTGCGTGATGTCTAGAGAGAGAGAAAGAGAGAGAACAAAGTACAAGGCTTAAACTCAAAGTGGCTTAAGGTGAAACATGAAAGTGAAGAAAAGAAGAACATGAAGAAGTGAAGAAGAAATTGTTCCAACAATTATCGCCAAAACGGCTTACACTGCGCGTTCCACACTTTATGCATTAGCTCCATTTCTTCACATCTTTGCCCCTGCTTTCTCTCCAATTTACTTTGCATGACCCCTCATTCATCATCTTCATTAATTACAATAATCAATGTGCATTTCTTATTATTACAATAATATTAATATACTAATAATAATAATAATAAATCAACTCAATATTAAATTAAATAATAATTTCAATATGACAATTATAAACTCAAAATTAAAGTTTGATTAGTTTGTATGCTTTTTTGTTGTTATTCAAGGAATTCTGTTGGAATTTTTCTTCCACCAAATTTTTGTTTGGTTGATATAGGATTTTATATATATATATATATATATATATATATAGTTTACCCGTTTACGACCCTTTGCCATGTGCCATTGGCCTTCTTTTAAAGTGGGTGGCCTTTCTTTGTTCTTCTGAAAAGCTTGCAATTATTTTTTTTTCTTTGAGGTATAAGTATAATATGTGGTGCTGTTATTATTTAAGAAAAAATGTGCTGTTCTTTGTCAAATGCTTGCGTATGATTCGTTAAAATTAGGTTGTGAATTTGTGATTATTAAAAGCAGTGGCAAAACCTAGAGGGACCCAAGTTACCCAACAAGGGGACCCTCAGCACAAAAAATGAGGATAGGTTATATGAAATACAAGTAAAACAGACCTTTTCTTCAACCCAAGGTCAATTTATTTCAAATTCAAACCATCAACAACATCAGCAGTGAATATAGGAATTCAAAGGGCTGCTGTGTATCTAAAAGGAATTGTTAATAATAATAATAAGGAGCTTTTTAACCTGTGCAACATTGTATAGATAAACTCTAATAAATATATTATTTAATTAATTTATATTAATTTTATTATAATTTTTAAAAAAATATTTTTTACTTTCTTTTATTGATTAAGTTATATATTTATTAGAGTTCATCTGTATAAAAGTTGTACAGATTAAAAAAACTCATAATAATAATAATAATTTATTATTGGTTTGACTAATAATAGAAGAAATTATAATATTTTAAAAGTAATATATTTTTAATGACAATAGGTGAAATAGGGTAGAAATACCAAATAGCGAAGCAAAATATATAAAGAATATTTAAATATGCTTTTAATATTTAAAATTATAAATTATTTATTTATTTTTGTTTGCATGTTTAGTAAAATTAATGCAATTTTAATCCCTCAACAGTAATTAAAACATTTTTTTTTCAATTATTAAAATTAAAAAAATAAACTAATTAGTTTATTAAAATAAAAAAAGAGATTCATATTTCTAAAAACCTAAAAATATACAAAAAAAAATTAGTTTTTAAAAATAGTTTTAATTTGATTTTATTCTTTTAAAAATTATTTTTTATTTTTTATCCACCTAAATTTAAAAATATAAATAAATTATCCTTATCACTACAATATAATATACATTTACTAATGTTGCATCAATAATTATTTTAACATAACATAACTAAATATGTATTACATTATCATTAAATGGTATCAAAATTATTTTAAAAAATGTTAAAATTTATCAAGATTAAAATAAACAATATTTAAAAAAAAAAAAAAAGCTAAAACCTAATCAACCTTCATGTTTACTTTATCACTGGGCATACTTAAAAACAACACTAGACAAAAGGTATAAAATTTTATTTCTTTCAAATATACCTAAGAATATATGCATTCACTGATTAAAAATTTGTTTTAATGCATTATCAATATCTAAAAATTATACTATCGATTAATTAAAATATATTATAAATATATTTTTATACTGTTTATTACAAAATTTATTATTTTTTTCATATGAAAAATTAAATTGAATGATAGTGCGAAAGTATTTTAATTAAAATTTTATGCATATTATAAGCTATATTTATATACATATAAAGAAAAACACATATCATTAAATAAAATACTACAAGTCTTATAGTCTAGCCTTGACTGTCATCGTGCAAACTCTAGGTGGCCTTTGCGCTTAGAGTGTTTTTAATAATATTATTTAATCGGTTGGAAGCTTGTAATAAATAAAAACTTTGATTAAAAAATAATTTTATTTAATAAGATGATTTTTTGAACATTTTATAGTTTTTTTTTAATTCCCAGCATTGTTTTAGTTTTTTAATTTTAACTGAGGTTCTATCATCCTTGACATTTTCATAATCTCTTGTTTGTCTATTTATTTTTATAATTGTCAAAATAAAAAATTTTATTTTATTTATATTATTGAAAATTATTAAATAAAAATATTTATAAAAAATATATTATCTTTATTTTCAAGTTAATAAATGCTTTAAAATAAATTAATTATAAAATACATTATTAAATTTTGATTTTTGTTCTATCAATTAATTATGTCTTCATTTATCATTTGATATTCCCAACTTTAAAAAATTAATTTTAATTTTAAATTAATTAATATATCAAATTTTAACTTTAACTAAGTTTTTAATTAACCTATCTACTATTATTGTCAAATACACTGTATAATATGTTTCAAATTCTTAACAACATATTACAAATAAAAACAAAATAATAATAATAATAATAATAATAATAATAATAATAATAATAATAACTGCATTATTTCAATTCCCTGAAATTTAATGTATTTCCATTTTCGACGTATACAGTATCATAAATTTTGGTTACACGTAGCATCCCAACCTTTCCAATTCGGCCCAGTATTGAAGAACAGACTTTTACGGCTTTCCATGTATCAGAGATATTTTACGGCACTATTCCCACGACATTTTTTTCAGTATTTCTATGATATATTTTTAAAAAATCATCTTTATATATTGTATATTTTTAAAAATTAAGAAATTATTTTTTATTAATAATTTTAATAATCAATTATATAATATTTTATAATTCTTAATAAAAATTTATCGTAAATTAAGTATCTTTAAAAAGTTATGAAAATAATAAATTTTTTATATATAATTTTTTTAAAACTTAAAAATGCCAAATAAAAAATTAACTATGAAAAATTATTAAAAAATGTCAAACATACTCTTATTTCAGACTCTTTTATTATTATTCCTTCTTATGAATTTATAAAAAAAAATTAAAAAAAATAAAGTAGAAAAAATTTAAAAGTAAGATAAAAAAAATCCCCCATGGAGAGAAATTGGAGAAAAATCCTTTTCCTTATTCTAAGAACATAAAATAAAATTTCATAATATAAATTTTAATTGTAATTAATATACAAATTATATTTATTACTTATCAAAATAAATAAAAAAAGTTTGTATTATATATTTTTTTATCAATTGAAAATATTTCTCTTCCTATTTCACTACTTATCCCAATAAAAGTAACAAATTGACAAATGTTTCGGTGGAGGTCGGTCTCGCTCTATCTAACCTTACCCATACAATTTATTTATTTATTTATTTCGTTTACACATCTTAGTCTAAATAATAAAATAGATAAATATCACTGCTGTCCTTTAGCAAAAAGGTCATACATGCATTACAAAAGTTTGCTCCTAGCAAGCAGCCGAAAGTGTATTTGAAGTACGAATTATGAAACAGATTACAGATGGACCTTTACACTATGTTCACACCCAAACTTTATTTTATAATATTCTTAATTTTGAAAAATTATGTTAAAATTAAAGTAAAGCAGTTTAACATTTTCAATATTTTTATTTCAAAAAAGTAATTTTATAATAAATTTAAGTATATATTTTTTATTATTTAAATTTTATGTTATAAACTAGAGTATTTTATTGAAAAATAGAGTTTAGTTGTCACAAGTATTTTTAAGACTAAATTTATTTAGAAATAATATGTTATTTCATTTTTAATTTTTTTAAAATTTTTTTATAAATTTAAAAAAAAATGATTATTTAAAATTTTTATTCTTATATAATATTTATTTATTTTTTATAAATTTATATTCTTATATTTCTAAAATTTTGTCTTTTAGTCAAATTTCAAACTTTTTAATGAATATTTATGTTTATATTTATACTTTTATTATATTATATAATTTTTAAAATTTTGTATAAATATTTTTATATATAAAATTTATAATACTTAATATATATATATATATATACTAGTGTTTTGACCCGTGCATGCACAGATTAATTTATAATACTAAAATTTAAAATATTATTTATACGAAAATATAAAATAAATTTAAGCTATTTAATCTTTAAATTAAAAAATTATTTTAGAGTATATTAAATTTTAAAAAATTACATTAACATCACTAATATTTCAAAAATGACATTATTATTATTATTTTATCTATTATTATAATTATTAAAGTAAGTATTATTATTTGTCATAAAATAAAACATATATACTAATAATATAAATATAACAACTATTGTTAGAATATTTATTTAAAGTACACCTGGTTAATACGTAGATTTTGTATATAAAATAGGAATTTGTATAGCTTTAAAATTAATTATTACTTCTTTTTTATTTTATTTAATACATATTAACAATTATTTATACATCCAAAGTTACTATATCTAATAATATAAAATATATTAAATGTGTAAATGACTAATCTAAAGTTGTATTAGTACATAACATACTACAATGCTAAATTATGTTGTGTATGTTGATTAGTTCTTATCTTTCATTTGATTCAATACATAACAATGATATATGTTGCTAAAATTATTATATCTTATTTTATAAAATATATTAAACATGACTACATAGCATTGATATTCTGAATAATAGAATAACATTGTCCCTTACTTTTATCAGATAATTGTACAAAATAATCAATATTAATATCAATAACTATAATATGTAGTTCATGTTCATAAAATAGTTTATATTTTATATTCACATAAGCATAAAAAAATACTACATTTGAATAAGAAAGTAACAATAGTAATATTTATTCAATAATATATATATATATATATATATATAATTTTATTGTACCTAATATTGTACAAATTGAAAGTACACATAATTCATTTAATAATAATATCGAACAAAAAATT